TACCCCCTCACACACACACATACCACACACATACACACACACACCTTAAAAAAAAATAAAACTTTTAAAAGGTAAAAAATTTTAGGTGAGAATATACTTTTCCCTTTCTCTCTCTCTCTCTCTCTCTCTTTTTTTTTGGCGGGGTGGGTGGGGCAGAGGCAGGGTCTTATGTAGCCTAGGTTGGCCTTGAACTATATAACTGAGAATGATTTAACCCCTGATCCTCTTCCTCCACCTCCAGATTACAGGTGTGTACCTACACCTGGTTTATTGCATGCTTTTTCCATAACATGCCAGCTATGGTGGTGCCCACCTTTAATCCCAGCTCTCAAGAGGCAGAGGCAGGCGGATCTCTGTGAGCTCAAAGTACCAACCTCATCTACATAGAGAGACCCTGTCTCAAAACACAAACAAAAAAAAAAATCCCTCCAAAAAACAAAAGAAAGTATTTCCTAACACAAATCTTAACACATGCTTAAAATTGAAATTACACGATACTTAATTCCTACCACTTATAGACAGAAAACCTATGTTTTTTTAAACTTCAAAACTCAGGTGACTGAGCAGAAAAACTGTGGGTTTTTTTTTTTAACTCACCGCAGAGACAGGAAACCCCACCTGAGAACCTGAACTGCTTCAAAGGCTGGCTGCTGGCAGGGCCAGCTAGAGGAAACAGCAGTCACCTGTCCCAGATAGAGCAGCATCTCTCAGCACAGTGCACAGCAGCCCTGCACACTGAGGTTGTCTGTCACTTACCCTCCCGACATGCTTGAGCTTCTGGCTTCTACTTGCTGGGCATACTATGTCAGAGACCATCGAGGATGGCGCACCCATGTCCTTTGCTCTCCCTATAGCATGACTAGGTACCCTAACCCTACTCTTACGCATGAAAGGCACAGAGCTTACAGCATCCCTGATAAAGTCGTGAAGTCTTCATCGGGTGCGGCTGCACCCCAAACCCATGCCTCCCTTCATCCACTCTGTCAATGAGGTTCCAGGCAGGAAGTCAGCTCCAGAGCCATAAGGAGTTCATGGCAGGCTCCCCACCAGTCCAGCTTGCCACGGGTTCAAAGGACCCACCTTCTGGATGACATTTCGAAGAGCAAAGTACTTCTCAGTGAGGTCCCCAGCCTCACTCAGTGGGGCATCGTAGTCATAGCTGGTGGGCTGAGCTGCATAGGGTGTGTTGGCACCTAGAGGACAAGAAATATGTCACTGGTCACTAATGAAGGTTTCGCTCAGGGTCTGAGGTTAGGGTGAGGAAAATTGAAGACACATTTAAGGAGCCGGGTGGTGGTGGCGCAAACCTTTAATCCCAGCACTTGGGAGGCAGAGGCAGGTGGATCTCTGAATTCAAGGCCAGCCTGGTCTACAGAACAAGTTCCAGGACAGCCAGGGCTACACTGAGAAACCCTGTCACAAAAAACAAAAAACAAACAATAAACAGAGACATAAACACCCAAATCATCAGAGCTGGGATACAGCTGGTCAAGCACTTCCCCAGCACAGGACACTGGATGTGGTGGCATGTACCTGTAACTGAGCATTTGGGAGGTAGGGCAGGAAGATCAAAAGTTCAAGGTCATCTCTTTTCTCATTGTAATTTTATGTGTATATGTGTTTTTCCAGCATATATGCCATGTTTGATCCAAAGAGGCCAGAAGTGGGTGTCAGATGTCCTGGGACTGGAGTGACAGGTGGTGGAGATGACAGCCGTGAGAAACCATGTGGATTCTGGGAATCAAACCCAGGTCCTCTGGAAGAGCAGCTGTTTCTCTGACCTGCTTTTCCTCAGTTCACATCCCTCCAGGGAAAGACCTTATCTACCAACCAATCAGGCTGCGGACATACAAACCACCTTCCTTGCTCCAGAGTTCCTCAGAGAGGCTGAAGCCACTCACAGAGTTACATCACTCCCCCCAGCCCCCCCACCCCCACCCCACCCTGTGTGCCTTCTCCACCCAGTCATTTCTCTGTGGGACAGGTGTTGCTCCTGAGAACACACCCAGGGATCGGCTTGTCTGGCTGTCTTGGGGCCTGCTCCCGTGAGGGCTGATATTACTGACTCTAGGGGACTTAGAAGACAAACCCCTGCGGTGTCTGTGAGGGAGTTTCTAGACTCGGTTAACTGAGGTGAGGGGATCCACCCTGAATATGGAAGCCGCTCCCATTCTATAGGCTGGCGTCCTACACTAAGGACCGACCAAGCCAGCGGAGCGCCAGAACTCATCTCTCCCTGCTTCCTGACTTCGGGTGTGATGTGGCCACCTGAAGCTCCTGCCCAGTCCCTCAAGTTTGCCGTGGGTGTCTTGTCACAGCGATAGGAAATATAATCAATACAACTTCCCTGGAGCTCAACCTGTGACGAAGACCAATGAGGAGAGCTGGGGCTGGGGACACAAAATGACCAGAAATATTATTGTCCAAGGCGCAGAGTCTAGACTAGAAACTCCCAAGATTGTCAAAGATGATGCTCACAGGCTTAGGCTCCCTGTCATACTGGTCAGTCCTCTGAAAATGTACCCATGCATAAAAGACACATGGGGAGTCTGCAGAAACAGTGTTCGAGCCCCCCAAACGGAGAGCCTGGTTCCTGTGGGGGTGGGGCAGAGACTGTCTGCCCTGTTCTTTTTTTTTTTTTAGACAAGGTCCAGGTTAGCTTCAAACTACTATGTAGCCAAGGATGACCCTTACCTCTCAAAGGCTGGGATCACAGGTGTGAATCACCAAGGCCCCCTGCAGGCTGGGCTGGCACTCTACCAAGCAAGGGATGTCTGCAGCCCTTGAGATTGCGCCTACTGCAGCCTGCCATGAACCAGCAAGGCCCGTGTCTGCTAGCTCAGATGGCACTCTGCCACGCAGGTGTGTCTGAACAAAGTGATTTCGCGATGGCTCTTTTCAAGAGCTTAATTTGTAAGTAAATGAGGCACAAAATATGACAGTTTGCTAATCCTTAGTGATAAGTTCACAAATGATGGGCCTGAGGACCCACTGTCGGAGGGGATCAGGTTAGCCTTCGCTTTCTCACTAATTCTCCGTACAGAATCTCACTTTGGAAGACCTGGACCACTCGGTCAACAGATTGGTGGATTGACTTCCTCTACTTCCTGCTTCTCAGAGACAGCTCTCCATCAGGTCTGCCTGCCCCAGGGGCAGCACAGGTTCAGAGACATCCCTCCCCATGAGACACAGAGATTATAAACCACATCCTCAGCTAGGGAGTTCACCTTCTGTGTGGCTCCTCTTCCGAGGGGGGTTCTTATTTTATTCCACCTGCACTAAGCTTCATACACCTTACATGCAGACCAGGCCACGCTGAGCCTCGAGTCCTCAGCCTGAGCCTGGCATGGGGGTGGGGAGATCAGTGTGTAGTGTGTGGTGTGTAGTTGAATGCAATAAGTGTAACTTCCAGACACAAATGCAACAGCCTGAGTAAAATGAACAGGGGACTAATGGGTCAACTGGAGACTTTTTCCTAGTTCTTTATGTGTGTGAGAGTGCTTGCATGTGCACACAGGTGCATTGTATGTGCAGGTGGGCATATATGTGTGGGCATGCACGGGTGAACATATGCATATATAAGCTAGAAGCTACCCATCTTGTCTTAAATGGGTGGAAAAACTAAGTTAAAATTAATTTTGTTTGTATGTGTACCATGGCATTTATGTGGCGGTCAGTTTCCGGGGTCACTTTTCTTCCTTTTTTTCCCCTTCCACCACGTAGGTCCTGAGGATCAAACTCAGGTTGTTAGGCCTGGCAGTAGCCACTGCACCATCTCCCTGGCCCTTAATCTGGTTTGGGAGGCAGGGTATCCCATCGGTCTGGAGCTCCCAATTCAGTTACACTGGCTGGCTAGCAAGCCCAGGAGTCTGCCTGCCTCCCCTCCCTAGCACTAAGATTACAGAAGTTCACTTCACCATGCCTGGCTTTTCTTTTTCTTTCATTTTGTTTTGGAGACAAGGTTTTCTCTGTGTAGTCCTAGCTGTCCTGAGACTTGTTCTATTGGCTAGGCTGGTTTCAACATGCTCTGCCTCTGGAGTGCTGGGATTAAAGGGGCGCACTACCACTGCTGGCTTGCCCGGCTTTTCTTAATGTGGGCTCGAACTCAATCAAGACCCTGTCTTGCATGGCAAGTTATTAGCACCACAGGGGAGCGGTGCGTGCTTAAGGCACATGTGTGTGGGGATTCGGAGCAAGAAAATGACAGAAAAATGAGAGAGAATTATCAGGGGAGGCAGAGCCATGGAGACAGGAGGATCCCTTGGCTCAGGGGCTGGTAGACTATACTTGGTAAGTTCCAGATCAGTGAGAGACCTTTAAAAAAAAAAAAAAAGATAGCTGGTGCCTGAGGACGGATACCTGAGGTTGTTCCCTGGCCTCCACATACATGGGTATCCACAGACACACATGTACACATGCACCTGCACAACATATAAACACACACACACCCCCCCAAAGCAGAACATGTAAACAAACACACACAGCCACACTAGACTGCCAGAGACACCTGGCTGAAAATAAGACCTTTAACAATCAAATTATGTCCCCTAAGGTTTTTTTTTTTTTTTTTTACACACTAAAATGATTTTTATGTGTTAGAAAATTTAGAAGACAAATGGAAACAGAAAATGGAAACTGGCCACAGGTACCGTCTCCCAAATCACGCACCAGAAACAGAACAAGCTTTTACTAATGGATGTTAAGTGAATCTTACCATTCCAATAGGCAAAATTGGTCCCACCTATAAACATGTACCTACAGAGAAACAAGAGAATACATGGACTTCACTGTGAGCACAGCTAAAGGGCTCCCTCTCCCAGCACTGGATACTCACAAGTTCACACTGGCCCCACGGGCAAGCAGGTCATAGAGAGAGGCAGCCACTAGTTCAGTCTTCACTGTGGAATGGGGTTCGCCCCAGTGGTCTAGCCAGCCAGTATAGAACTCAGAATTGATCTGAAGAGGGAAAAGGGGGTGGCACTTAAGAGATGTTTTGACCTTCAAATAATGCTGAGGTGTTCCTGTAATGCCCTGTCCACTTCTCCAAGGAACAGGTGGTAAGGGAGATTGATGTGCATGCTTAACCTAGAGCTGGGGGAGGGGGTCAACACCCTGTCCATGAGTGTCAGTCAACTGGGACATCTCATCTTGCTCAATACAAGCTCTGCATTGTAGAGCCAACCCACTGCCAGTCAGAAACACCTGGGAACGCAGCTGCATTGGGAGAATGCTTGTCCAGCATGAATGAAGCCCTAGGTTCCATGCCTAGCATTGCAATAAACTGGGTATGGTGATAACCCACCTGTAATCCCAGTACTCAGGTGGTAGAGGCAGGAGGATTACAAGTTCAAGGCAATCTTTAGCTATACAGTGAGTCAGAGGCCAGCCTGGGCTACATGAGACTTTATATTTAAAAAAAAAAAAGTTTGTTTTTTTTTTTTTTACAAAAAAATTGTATCAGTATTGAGCATGTGCAGACTCTGCCCCTTCCCATCATTATTACCTAAATAATAAAGTAAAATATCCACACAGCATCTGTGCTACATCAGGTTTAAGCAACCTTGAAAGGATTTAAGCCTAGGATAAGGATATACAATATAAGCCTACAAGAACTGCACCATTTTATGGAAGGGATCTGAGCAGCCACTGATTCCAGTATCCGAGGGTTCAGAATCTCATGTCCAATATCCAATCCCCCATGAATATTTTGGGACAACTGATTCTTTTTTCTTTGAGACAGGGTTTCTCTGTGTAGTTTTGGTGCCTGTCCTGGATCTCACTCAAGGCTGGCCTTGAACTCACAGAGATCCACCTGGCTCTTCCTCCTAAATCCTGGGATTAAAGGCATGCGCTACCACCACCCAGCTGATTCTTTTTCTTTTCTTTCTCTCTTTTTTCTTTTTTCTCTTCTTTCTCTCTTTCTTTCTTTTGTCTTTTCTTTTCTTTCTTTCTTTCTTTTTTTTTTTTTTGAGACAGGGTTTCTCTGGATAGCCTCAGCTTCCCTGGAACTTACTCTGTAGACCAGGTTAACCTTGAACTCAATAGCAATCCACCTGCCTTTGCCTCCCTGGGCACTGGGATTGCTGGAATGAAAGGTGTGTGCCACCACTACCTGGCTTAAAAATCAACAAAGCCGGGGCTGGAGAGGTGGCTCAGTAGTTAAGGGCACTGTGCTTTTTCAGAGGATGTGGGTTTAATTCCCAGCACCCACATGGCAGCTCATACCTGTCTGTAACTCCATTTCCAGGGCTTTTGACACCTTCACACAGATATATATGCAGCCAAAACACCAATGAACATAAAATAAAAATAAATTATAAAATAAAAAATCAACTGAGTCATCCTGTGGGTCCTGGGAATTGAACCCAGGTCCACTGGAAAAGCAGTCAGTGCTCTTAACTACTGAGCATCTCTCCAGGCTGGGGACAACTGATCCTTTTTTT